ATGCTTTGAATATGAAGTTCTCGCTTCTTTTTCTTTTGAAGCTTAAATGATCGAACTTTACAAGTTACGATTTTGGTAAACACGTGCACAACCAACAAGTGCACAGCAAACAAGTGTGCAGCAACCAAATCATGCAAATAGTTTCAAGTGTTAATACTAAAATAAATTTACAAGCGCCACGCGTGCTGGATTGGGGCACGGAGAACGGTGCGACAAAAGAATCTCCAAACTTCCCAAATAGCATATATGACAATTCATCCAACCACAATGTTTTTTTTGATGTTCCACTGTTCTTATGACAATTCATCCAACCACAATGTTTTTTTTGATGTTCCACTGTTCTTATCCAGAGAAAAAGAAAAGAGCCAATGCTTTACACAGAGTCAGTAAGCTGGTGCAAGGTTTTTTTAGGGGATCTGTACTTAGGCCATGCATCATCAGGTATTGCTACCAGCGTTATTAATCTCATACATGCCTCCAGTAACCCAGCCAGAACTTGCAACTTATGTTGTCCACAAAAGGGCCCCACTCGACCTTATTACATTTTGTTTCTCTTTCTGAATCGGCACTTGCACGAAATTCGAATCGAAACTCAATTAAAGTACTTATTAGGCTATATTCAAGGATGATATTGTATAGATGGCACATCTATGTTGCCATCAGTGTGATTTAGCACACTGATGGCCACACTGCAGGTAACATACAAGTTGCGTCAGAATCCTTGTATCACCACTCCTTTAGCATACCAATACCAATGGCATAAACTCTTCAACCATTTTGAACGGGTATGGCTCACCCGCTTGAAATATCTCTTTATAAGCATATTTAATGAGACTCATTTCTAAGCTTGTTCACATGTCACTTCACAGTTGGCAGCACTTGCTTGGCAATTTCTTTCACTTTTTTTCACAACTTGTGTAAACATTGTCCAGTGAAGGCGACGGGTGCGCTGCTCGTGCATCGTTGCGGTGAAGGAGACTCTTTCAATCTCAATGCTTTTCAGGCACCAATTCTTGAGATACCGAAGTTTACTTGCCGGGCGCGCAAAGATTACTTTGCTCGCAGGACAGGTGCCGTTTGCGAAAAGGGTGTGCTTTTCAAACACAGCAAAGTAACAACTGGGGCACATTGTTGGTTCGCACTCATATCTGTATCTGTCATTGCGTTTGTGCCTCGTTTTTGTTAAAACAGCGCTGAGCGTAAACGTTGCTAGTTCACTCTCGTCCTGTGTATGTTGTTTTTGTGCGTCATTTGTGCTGAGCAGTGCGATGCCCGTTTCAATTTGCTTGCCGTTTTCAGCTTAATTCGAAGTTGTTGCTATCGCATTGCTTCACCCTTGCGACGAAACTGTGACTTTTGTTAATTTTGGACAACCCCAAGGGGATGCCAGATTAGGCGCTTATGGAAACTCTTCGAGACCACAGTATCGACGGATATTCGGAGATCGACTCGTCACGCGCTTCCGTCTTGCGCGGCGAATTTGCAGGCTGGTAGCTTTTGCGATTAGCCTATTAGTCCTGGCAACAACACGACGGCACGTTGAATGGAATGCAATGACACGATAGCAAGAAATTGCAATGTTATAAGAAATAAGACTGGCAGCCAACTCTTTTGGATCCGATATCGAAGCATACTTACAGAAACGCTGGTTTGAGCAAATACGGCCGTTCCAGGGAGAAGTGCCTTTTTCACACAGTCCCTTCATGTTGAAACCGCACCGATACTCGCGGAGATAGCAAGCGCGACAGCGACCGCGACCACCCTTAAAATCCAAGTTTATTATTACTACTCGAACGATTCCCCTCCCCGAGTTATTTCATGCTCATTCAAGACGGGTGGTTTACTTTCTGTTTGAACATTTCAACGGCAGTTCTAACACGTGAGAGATGTTATCTAATGCACTTTCCAGGCGATAGACATGGGCCGACTCGCTTGATCTCTGCTTCAGCAGCGATCGCGAAAGTTACGATGCGCGGGGGCGTGTTACAATTTGAATTTGTTACGGAATGTGGCGGCGACGGCAAAAACCCGCCGAGAGCCTCCATATAATTGCTATCACAATAATAACGCAGTTTTTTACTGTAAAATGAGTGTTTTGGGTTAGCTCTGCCTTTAGTCCCCTTTTTGTTTAATTTGCACGTTTATTTTCCAAATTTTCGTACCAAACCTGCATATAACGAAATCCTCTTTAAAACGAATGTTTTTGGAAATTTATCGATTTCCTTATATCCAGATTTAATAGTATACACACATGCGAAATAAAAAAATGTTCGAGGCGAAGGATCACAGCAGCTTAATTTGAGAATGGGTATCACTACGACTTGCACAGAAAGCAAGCATTTGCAGAAAATGCAGTCACGCATGTAACGCAAAAAATTTCCTAAAGCGCTTGCTTATATAAACAGGCATGAATACTAGGCTAAGTAACACTTCTCAGAGCTTAGAGAAACCCAAAATCTTGATAAGAATGCACACACACACACACACAATAAATAATCGTGTCCCCAAGGAGAAATAATTCGTCGCAAGTTAATTGACAACAACAAACTATCGTAGTGCCGGTTACCTTCTTTTCAATGCGCAAGTTTCCGATTTGCGCCATTTTCTTTCGCACGTCATGTTTCTGTTGATATATTCATTTGTATTTTGTTTTTATGCTCTTTGACTAAACATCAAGTGTTTTTTTGCTCCGTTTCAACTTTTTTCATGTTTTATTTCTTCTGCCAGCGAAGGGAGCTGCAAATACTGGTGCTTATACTGTGGGGAGAGTTAAGAACGATACTTTGAGTCTTCGCTCGCACGCAAACGTTGGAGGTGTGTGTTTGCGTGTGTACATGCATGACACTTCCGTGCATGCCTAGGGGGAGTGCACGTTGTGGCTTCATTGCACCGACGTGGTCACTGGAGGTGCTCGGTGCCCTGACCAAGTGACGACTGACAGCCTGGCTGTGCCCTGCTCTCGGCCGTAGCCGAGAAACCTTGCTGCCCCTCCACCATGGCCATTCATGTTGCCTGCGAATGCCAGACAGCCAATTTCGGTTCGGCCTCCCTGATCACTGGAGAAGCCCGTCTTTTCAGTGAGGTCCCCCCGTCATCCATAAAGAAATTCGGGACCTCCGAACCACTACCGAAGTGGCGTCCGTTGGGCTCGCAGACCAACCATTGCCACAAGACATCAGTGAGCCCCTTCCGTGCCTCTTGCCTCAAACACGGGCATCACATTCAGCGGACAATATTACGAACTGTCGCCCCTCCGTGTGGTGGCAATATCCTGTCTCAGCACCACGAACCCTACCCTTACTTTTCTGTGCTCCTTTTATATTGTCATGAGTTTACTTTTTTTAAAGCTTTCTGTCTTGTCATCAATTTTTTTTAGCAGCAGCTATAGGGCTGGGCTGAGGTTAACTGTTGCTCATAGCAGGTTTATTTTAACTGCATGGGTAACATTCGGCTGCCTTTACAGAGTAGTATAGGGCAAAATTGGGAGAGGGGGATGTGGAAATTGAGGCTATCCCACCGCCACTGTGCAGGCTTTGTTGCAGTTCTCATTTCCTAACCTGACTCTCCCCTCCTCTGCAGTCCATCAGCGCTGGGGGAGGAGTGACATTTATCCCTCTCACCCGGATTGACTGTGGCGCTTCGCTCTAGTCACACAGGATGTTTCGCGAGCGCTTCAGGATTGAGTCAGAAGCATCTCCGAACAGCGACGGGTGAGCACTCATTTTCTTTTCTGTCCGTCAGCTCCCTTTGTTTAGAGCTCGCTCAGACTCGTCAACAGCGCCTTGCGCCCGTGGCGTACATTTACGTTTCTTTGCCCTTTCCGAATGCTAGGCCGAAGCGGTGCAGGGTCCTTGTGCGTGGTCGTACCATGCCGACCTGTACCTCTCTAAGACAACGTGAGCGGAGTTTACCCTTGCTCAAGCGATCGGGCCCTGCAGTCCCCGATCTTGAGAGCATGCAGCATAGTCGCGAGGGCCCATTTTCCTCAGCGGTGTGCCACTGTGAATCTCTTTTGCCCATGGCGTGGACAAGCCTCGTTTGCTTTTCTGCCACCTTTTTGCAACGAGTGCTGTACTGCGTTTTTGGTGTTACCGCAGGCAACAAAGTGTTGCGAGTTGCTTGAGAGCAGCACCGTGCACTTGCCACGCTGCACTTGGTGCCTTGGATGTCTGAACGCGCATGTGCAGTGGCGTTAGTCACACGAGACGGCGGTGAACGTGGCCCTGCGGCTCGCCAGGTATGGACCCATGCTAGTGGCCTTACTGCTTTGGGATACGCTGTAGACTACATCTTGTACAAACTTCTCGCAACAACATGTCGAACTGCGGGCTAGCCCAAATCACTGTAGGTGCTTTTCAATGGCGGTCAACCAAAGTCGCGAGTTTGTACAAAATTAACTCTTTTCGTTGGCTCTACTTGAAGAAAAGGTGACTTGGGTGGCACTGTAACACTTAAATGGTTGTTTGTGATTCGATTGCAATGTATTTGATATAGAGTGCGAGCCCACGAAATCAAACCATTGGTACCGTACAGCGCACAGAATTTTGGTCGTCACAATGAGCATAATGTAGGTGGTCTGAAACGTAATTGCCGAAGTTCTGCGATGGCACTTCCTTTTCTTCCTTTTTTTTTCTTCTCCCGTTCGTTTCGTTGGCAATGCAGGTTTCTATATGTTAATTTTTGGAAATCTAAATCGCATCGCCTACCTCAGTTCACGAACATACAAGACCGCATGCTCAACACGTTTTGCGCTAGTGGAGCCTATGAAGAAGGTTGTTTCGGTTGTAGTGCGGATATTCATGACTTATGCTGTAGTCAGAAATAAAATTTTCGGAAATTTCACTTTGCATAAAAGGTGCACCTGAAAATTGGAGCCGAATTTTCTGCCCATATTATGTGAGTAAATAAGGTAGTGAGCCTACTATGTAGGCCAAAATCGATGAGAAAGAGTGCACCTTCCCACCATGCTGGCATGAAAAACAAGCCACTCAAGCACTCACTTCTGGAAGGTTCTTGACATAATCTTCAATGGCTTCCAAGGCTTCCTTGAAACTGGCGGTCTTACTGGACTTCGAGAACTGCTCCCTGCTGGCTTCATATGGCTTGATTTGGTCTTCCTGGATCCATGCACTGCAGAAAGATATCATGCTCAGCTAGGCTCAACAAACAATGCAGCATGACGTGCAACCAAGTGCTTGTACTTACTGCGCGAGCAAACCGAATGCTTGCTAAGACATTGAAAAAGAATAGCAGAAAAATTCACACTTGCAATATGTATGCAATACTTTAACAGCCTAACCAAAAAGGCTACTTATTTAGTGTCCCACAAATAAATCCTCCTTTTGTTAACAAACAGCTACAGTTTTTGCAAACAATGACGTTTGGTGATCCAGCTATTCCTCACATCAATGGGTGCTCATAGGGGAGAAAAACGCCACGGACAAGCTGCAAGGCACCAAGACAGGAATTATGGGACAGCAGAGCTAAGCTAATGAACTTCACCCTAACAATCAACTGGGCAAGCAATAGAAGATTGATGTACTGAGCTTACACAGTACCATTCAAACAAACCTGGTTATAATATTTTGCAGAACATTAACTTGAGGTACCTAGTAAGCACAAAAATGCTACACTGCATGTAGGATTTGCAGCAAGAATAGGCTGCAATATCGCTATGCATGAGTCTTTAATGTAGAAGCTGCCTTGTAAGTTTTACAACTTTTCCAAAGGAAACAGTTGTATTATACATGGGAAATACCAGAGGAAACTAATTTCACAATCTCCATACCCACTGCCTGTAATCCCAGACTGCCAAATCCGTCAGGTTCTATGACAACAAAAATGAAGTATGTTTTCAATTTTTCTTGCTCTTCCTTTAAAGGTGAATGTACGAAGTTGCTAAAGGAGGGCCCATACAAAAATTTTGGTTCCATGTTTTTGCTGCATTATGCTGCTGGAGGCTTGTCAGTGGCAGGACGGCATTCTTTGTTGCAGTATTTGACAGATAAGGTTTGTGAGGCCAATAAGCCACGGTGTGCAACTAATGCCAACGACCCTGTGCAATGTGGTAAACAAACATGACAGCGCATATAACTGTGATGCATTTCTACGTAGCCGGCGTTGGCGGCTTGTGTTCTTTCACTTTCTGAGCGATTTGTCATCATGACCATCTGGTGGTCACTATTTTCTTGAGCCAAGAGCAAAACATGTGCGCCACGAAAACAGTCTTGCGAGCAGTTGTTGAACTGCACGGCGCAAACGCGGCAGAACCACTGACAGTTGAACCTGCCCATAACAAACCTTCATACAACAAATCCCTAGTTATGACAAAACTGTCATTTCGTGAAAACACATGTATTTGCAACCCCTATGTAACAAAGTAACAGCAGAAGACACCCTTGAAATAACGAATTTCTCCACCGACCACCTGTTGATCATGCCGCAAATTTTGTCACTTTAGCCTGAGCAGCAGCCACATGCATCTTCTGCGGTTGCCGAAGCGGTGTTGTGTGCACAGCGTGTACATAGCCCCTCCAACAATGTGTGTTCGTGTGTGTGCAATTAGGAAGCTAGCACGATAGACACGAGAAAGCATCAACATTCACTAATAAGCTGCCTGCTTTGCCACTTTAGAGGCAAGAAAACTGCACAGCAAGCTCAATGCAAAAAAAAAAAAAAGGCCATCTCAGACCATTTTTTTTTTGTGCCTTTTGGCCTTTAAAAAATTCTATCGACTGTACTTCTGCTTTAAATATCGACTTTGTGACCAGACATAAATAACTGGTCACAAATTTAAAATGGCAGCCAAGCAGTCTGTGGCGAGCCTCATCAGTCTATTTGCAAACCACTCATTTTGCACGTCAAAACTCAAAACCCCTAAAACACATTCCTTAACACCCTCAATTAAACTGATTGCTGAGAAGACTGGAATTGGCAAAACGTGCTGCAGCAGTGAGTTGGCATGCCCTACAATATCTGTCCTCCACACAGATGTGTCTCTGTTTCCCAGCTGCTCAACCGTTGCCGGCGTGCAAGTTTATGTGTAGTCTCTGCTGGCATGTCTCCTGAAACAAAAGGCTTCACAAGGCAAAAACTGTATTTCTTCTCACATGCATAACTTGAATTCGGTATGAAATAAACAGCCCTGGAAATGGGCAGAGTGGCATGCATTCACTTCAATTCTAAACGGACTAAACAGAAATAGTAAAAGCGATGGCAACTTGGAGTGGAGGCTGAACAAATGTGAATGTTATCAATGTGAGTATGAATAACTTTCCCAATATTAGTTTTTGATGCCACAAATTTTTACGAATCATTACAAGAACTAATGCCTTGACAAAGGAACTTGAACTTCACTATTTGCCCATGAACTCCAAATCACTCATGCAGCTCCTTGACAAAGGGTTTATTGATAGCACAAGGTGCTCTTAGCGGCATAGACTTATCCACATTTGGAAAATGAAAGTGGAGGAGTCTTCAGGCCCACCTTATCCCCCTGAAGCTTGGGCCTTAGGCAGCTTGGATTTCACTGCACATGAATGAAGCAGCCTCGGAAGACATCCAATTAATAGTATTTTATGTATATACCATTTTTAATGCAGACAACTGCGCCATCACTACCATGGAGATGTCAGATTATGTGCTGGTAGAAAGTGTCTGCGATCGCAGAGACAATGGCTGATCTTTGGAGGTGGATTTGTCAAGCACCTTGCCTTTCGCAATGAAAGCGCTGTACATCACTGTTGACATATGCCTCGTTGCGGGCTCGCTGAACATTGATGGAGCAGCGTAGTATTGCTATATGCACTATGAATGGTTGGTATTGTCGTCCCTCACAAACAGAAAAAGATAATGTAGTTTTTTTTTGCTGCTAAATAAGCGTTTTGGGCAAGGCCTATCCTCAGTTCCTTCATTTAATTTGCATGTTTCCTTTTGAATTTTTGTAGTAAAACTGTACATATGATAATCTCTGTAGCGAAAACTTTTTGGGCATTTTTCAATTTCATTAGATCTAGATTTCACTGCATGCCATCATAACTACCTGTGCGAGGTCAGAGCTCAATAGCAGTGGCACTGTTGTGGAAATCGGCAGTCGCTGTCAGGTCGGCTAATGCGATGTCAATGATGCAAGAAGTGGCATACAGTGTTCAATAGTGCATGTCAATATTCATATAACCTACTTTATAAGCTACATTTAATGTTAGGATTTGGTAGATCGTATTGCATAGCGTCAGAAATCAAACAAACAACGCACACACCATTTTATTACACTTCTGCATGTAGTCTGCTAACGCCAACTTTACTACACTTTGCTGCACAAAACAAAATATAAAAAAAGAAAATAGATACGTATTACATTCAAAATTGTGTGTTGCAAGTAGGAAAACTTATGCTGTTATTGATTTGAGTTTTTTTTGCTGTTTTTAGTTTTATAGTGTGAATTTCAAGTCGACCTGCTCCCCTGTAAACAATGACGGCGTCACTCGGTTACAGCAGTTGGGCATCCCACTTGTAAGCAAAAATGATCACGTGTGCATAAGGTCATTTGTGTTCATCTAACAAGTCACAGTTTCACCAAATGAGCAAGGAATTGAATGTGATAGCAACATATTTGAATGTTTTATGAAGCGAGGCCAGCATTTTTAGAAGCAATATTAATTGTAGCAAACATGTGCTTGGTAAGTAACCAAGTCTCCTGCAGCGTGGCCATAGCGACAAATTACAATGTTGCACAAAGTGAGGATGACAGTCAACTCATTTACACCCGATTGCACGTAACTCTACAAAATGCTGGTGTAAGAGAACATGGCCGCTCTAGCTATACTTTTGGCAGCGCGCTGATTGTCGCCATGATAGTGCAACAACCATGATAGTGCAACAACTATAAGCCCCCCCCCCCCCCCCCCTCCATTCGCTGGCGAGACAAGCATGCGTGCTGACGAGCCCGGCCGGAAAGGCGATGCTCACTCTGTAGAAAGAAGAGGCTAGCGCGTCCTTCCCCGCATGTGTGTCTGTGTATATATATATATATATTAAAAGCTCGTTAATTTAGAAATCCTGACACGACATCCGGTCCCTGTAAACATACGCACCACTCTACGAGACTAGGTGCTTGTTATTTCGTACAGTTTTGACCACAAGTCGGATAACTAGGCAATTTTCGGGCCGTTGGCGAGGCTCGGAAACGAAAAAAAAAAAGAAAAAAAAAACCATTTGGAACAAAAGTAAAGCTCAAACACAGCACCGCCTTGGGCATCAATTATTGACTTGGCTTGACTTCAGACTGGTTGAACACCTTTTCGTCGCATGTGGGTATGTGTGGGTTTGGCGGTGCCATTTTTGTTGCTTTGTTCCCGTGAGTGTGTGACATCCTTGAGCAGTTGAACCCCGTTTTGTCGAAGAACGATTCCGTACGGCTCACAAGGTGCTTTTGTGCCGAGTTCCCGTGTGATCGCTCTCTCCGCAGATGGCAAAGCCAGCGAAGCGGCCAAAGTGCGAGGCCAAGGACTTAAATACCAAAGTAGAAATTTTGTGTGCCTTGAAAAATGGGCTCTCTCAACAAGAAGTGATGAAGAAGTTCAATGTTAAAAGAAGTACTCTTGGTACATATGTTAAATATGAAGGGAAGATTCTGCAGGCATTTGAAGGTGAGAAGTTCAGCGCATTGAGAAAGCAGCTGCGAACAGCAGCTCATCCAGAGTTAAAAGACGTCCTTTTTCGGTAGGTGGTCAGCTCGCGTAATGCAAACCTGCCCTTGTGTGGACCCCCGATTATGACGCAAGCTGAAAAGTTTGCAGCGATGATGGACATTGATTCCTTCAGAGCATCGGAAGGATGGTGTGCACGGTTCCGAGAAAGGCACGGCCTTGTTTTCAAGACCGTTTACGGCGAAACAGGTGCCGTGAGCGAAGACACGGTCAGCAACTGGAAGAGCGCCAAGCTGCTGGAGCACTTTGCCGCCTACGATCCGAATTATATATTTAACGCTGATGAGACAGCACTGTTCTTCAAAGCATTACCAGACAGAACTGTGACCATGAAAGGGGATCCTTGTATCAGTGGCAAGAGAAGCAAGGAACGAGTGACCATACTTTTAGCCGCCAACATGACGGGGACAGAGCGCTTGCCGCTGCGCGTTATCGGGAAGGCTCAAAAGCCACGCTGCTTCAAGAATATAAAAAATCTTCCCATGGATTACCTTGCCAACCGAAAAGCAGGGATGACGGGTGAAATATTCGCAACCTGGATCCAAAAGTTGGATCAACAGTTCTGTGCGAAAAACCGCAGTGTAAATCATGCTCGACAACTGCAGTGCACATAACAGTGTCTCTGGACTGAACAATATGGAAGCTGCTTTTTTTTGCAGCCGAATATGACATCAGCACTTCAACCCATGGACCAGGGCATAATCCAATACGTGAAAACAAAGTACTATAGGTGTGTGTTGGAACTGATGCTACTGTGCCATACCTTCGGCAAACAATACCATGAGTCTCCTGAGCGCAGTTAGCATTCTTGCGTGTGTGTGGAAGAACACGCCTGCTCACATCAGTGAGAACTGTTACCGGCACTGTGGATTTTTTGTATTCGATCTAGCGACGACGCCACGGCCGAAGTGTCATCAGACGACGGTGCCGATGACTGCCAGGATTTCGGAAGAGTTATGCCTGATGAAGTGGCCCTCGACAATTATATCGCCATTGATAAGGGCATTGCTACTGCCACCACCCTGACCGATGAGCAAATCGTCAAGGGAGTGATGTGTGGCGATGAATTCGACGTGGAGCCCAAAAAGAAGCAGCCGCACCATGAGCCACACCGGCCCCCTCGTACTGTGAAGGAAGCTGCGGAGGCCTTTGTTGTCCTGGAAGATCTTTGTTTTGACACTGCAGACAACATGCGAGCTGCTGAGTACCGTGAAGGGCTCAGAAAAATTGTGTCCGCGCGAATTTCCGCTGGCTAACGGACGAGCATTCGCAAAAGGTATGTTGACAAAACTCTTGAATGACATTCGTTTAATTTGGGAATTTTTTTTCCGGTCCCTAGAAATCCGAATTAAGGAGCTTTTACTATATACGTGAATAATGCCGACGACAGAAATTAGCCGAGACTGGCCATATTATTGCTATTGCAATAAAAAAGAAGACGACGCATTTAGTTGTGAATATTTTGTTGCCCGCATACATCACGGAGAAAGAAATTGCATGTAAGTGATGCCACTAAAGTGAGTTCGTCTCTCATAGCGATAGCCGCCTTAAAGGTGTTCAATAACACCGTATGTTTGAAAGCAAGACTAAGATTGAAAGAAGTATGCAAAGAAAATCACTCATTTTATAAACTACTATTGCTAATACAACCATGCTGAAAATGACAAAGTAAAGAGCCTGTTGGCATCTACAACACAAGGAGCACGTGGCGCTTTGAGATGAAAGCGATTTAAGATGACAAAAATGCCAATGGAAACATTCCTCTCGACCAGAGATGCGGCTATGTCTGTTGTCTGTTTGACAGCATGCTTTTCACTGTGTTAAAGCAACATTCTTGACCACGGCGGGCAAGGAGCATGTTTAGCTCTTTTGGAATTACGAACGTGAAACCCCCGCTCCCAACCGTTGGTGCCCAATAATCGTGTTGTTCACCGATGCTTGTGCATCCATTGAAAAAATAACTTGACCGTCTCCACAAAGTCATTGCACCTCCAAAGAAAATGATCCCTAACCCTGCATGCACCAAAATTTGGTAAATAGTTTGTTCCCTTTGCATAGCATTTCCAATTGTGCAATTCCTACTCCTGGACGTGACCTTTTTGAAAAATAATATGGATCGCTTCAATAAAGCTGCCTCCAGCATTTCTTCGCAATAAAAAATATCTTATCACTCTCCAAAAAAGAAACACGTGGACTTGAACCACTGCCAGATTAGTGTTTAATCCGATTTGCGGAGGAAGTCAGTAATGACTCAGTGCTGTAGCCATGAACACATGGCTTGTAGCTTTGAACTAAAGCTATATATATATATATATATCGTTCCCGGCATAACTCTATTAATGACATGATAATCTGTGGATGATGATATGTGAAACACACATGTTGCATGCGTATGTGGAAATAGAAAAACCAAAACCGGAAATACCTGCAAACAAACTATTTGTCACAGCATGCCAAAGCTTCGGCCATATAGCTTTGTCAGTGTTGTCACAGAAAGTTGTTGCTAGGTATAATTAACACCAAGAGAAAGAAATGGACTTCGGTCAGTCACCTCATGCATAGGACAGGAAACTGGTAGTAAGAGCAATGGAATGGTTACCAAGGTGTGGGAAACCTAGTCAAGCAAGGGAGATGAAGAGATGAAATGAAAAGATTCAAGAGGATAAAATGGAATGAGCTCGCCCAAGATGGAGTGAACCCAAGATCATTTGAAGCCGTCATGCAGTAGATCTAAATAGGTCGAAAATGATCATTCTAAAACTCCCTTATTGAAAAATTGGTGAAATGTGTAAAATATCATTTCGAAGTGTGGGTGTAGATGAAGTTTTAGGTGCTTGATGATTGTACTTGTGTTTACTGAATGCAGATAATGCATTTTAATAGATTAGTGCAAAAATGGCTGTACATGCAAACAATTCTGCTAATAGACAAGTCAAGCACTGACGTGAACACACATTTACCAGAAAAACGAGATCACAAAACTGTTTTTCTGTGTATTTTGCATAATTATACATTGAAGTCGCTTAGCGCGCAAGAAACGCAGCAGCTCGTACGTGTTTATGGGCGGAAACGCTATGGAGGCATCAAAAACTCACTAGTTGTTGGTTCCGAAAAAGAAAATGCAATGCATCGGCTTCTTCAGGGCCGGTCTCTTGACCTCCTTGGTTGGGTTGGCCACCTGTAAACGATGCACTGATCAAGAAAAGGTGGCGGATGGGCGCACGCATGGCGCTCACACTAAATCTCCCGCCACTCAAAACCGAAAGTCAGACACAACGCCAACACAAGCGCCAATGGCCGCCGCACAGACGCACGAATCACGCCAAAGAAGGCGCAACAACACCATCGGCGCGCCATCCCGCACAACCAAAAATTATAGCAACTAAACTAACCTCCTGCCGTAGAGTAGACTATGCGGCTCGTTTTGGCGGAATTCGCTAGGCCTAAAAAGCATAAACAGCAACCCGGCGCGGTTTTCAGTGGCAAGATCACGCCCGATGATCATTGCCAAATGCACATTACGACACCTAAAGTTCGCACACGAACACACAAATCAAATCAACTGTTTCAGAGTTCACGTGGAGCTGTTTGACAGGGCGCACAACACGCCGATTTTGAATTTGAATGATCGTTGAAGAGCCGCTGCGAACAAAGCCGCACTTACCTTTCCTGGCCACGGGGAGAAGCCTTTCATTTTTGCCCTGCAATATGCAAGAATCACATCAGCACATTGTACGGTATCATAAAAACTGCCATCAAGTACAACATTTGGCTTTCAAAAAACGTGCTACTACAAATGTCTCACCACACAGGGTCGCCGATACTGTACTTCGTCGCCATGCTGAACGAAGAGCGTAGTGGAGGCTGACGGGATTGCACAAAACGCGCGCGGATTTTATATCAAAACAGATGCCCAGTTTCGTAAACAACTTAATTTCAACAAAAGTATACCAATACATCAAACAAATAAAAATAATACCCTCATATAGTTTTTAAAAATATGAGCGCACATAATTTTTTATAACAAAAGTATTATTACTTTTATAGTTTATTTTATTAACACATCCGGCATTTTTTTTTTTGTTCTGGTTTCGGTTTTCAATGTGCGCACATTCGGAGGTGTGCCCTGCTGAATGCGCCCTGCTGAATGAATTTGGTTAGAACGCCTTTTCTAGTTTAACAACAATCACCCACACTACTTGGCCCCTGTTGTGACTGCGCATCCCAGATTGGAATGTTTACTTACCTCAATGCTGCATAATCGAGTTGAATCACCCATTACAAGCAATATTACATGATCTAACAGATCTCATTAGATCTCGTTAATATTGCCTTAAATGTACACTTCTTTCCTTCATACATGACAAGCAAGCATGTTCAGATGCTTGGCGTCTGTTTACAATACTGGCGGCGTCATTGAGTTGCCTTTATACTATTCAGATTCTCAGCCTGTGTTGCAGTCATTAAGATAATGTACTTTATTTGTCTTCTTTTGTCATTGCTCATACACTTCTCCACAACATTGAAAAAGAGACCCCGGGCAATATTTTACATGCCTGAAAACATGAATTGTGTCTATTTATGGTTTTGTTCCTTCACAGTGCAACACAGCTACTCCTTTCTTGCAAGTGATTGACAATGGGACGAAAGTCTGGTGACCACACAGGCTGTCTACGTAAGCACCAATAGCTTTCCTGCAACATATACAAACATCCCAGCGCACATGTTGCAATAAAGGATTTGGGCTTCGAAAAGTTCTGAAGACCCTGCAAGATGACAAAGCCCTTCAAAATTTGATCACTTTTAAATGTCCTGCAGATTTTAAAGCCTCATGCACCGCTGGAACCTTGCAGCATATTTTAGAGCATATGTTGGTATGATATGTGGGGTTTAACGTCCCAAAAACCACCATATGATTATGAGAGACGCCGTAGTGGAGGGCTCCGGAAATTTTGACCACCTGGGGTTCTTTAACGTGCGCCCAAATCTGAACACACGGGCCTACAACGTTTCCGCCTCCATCGGAAACGCAGCCGGGATTTGATCCCGCGACCTGCGGGTCAGCAGCCGAGTACCTTAGCCACTAGACCACCGCGGCAAGGCAGCATATGTTGGTAGACGCACATGCAACAATTATGCAGCATGTCGCACCTTTTCACCATTCATTTTACTTATCTTGCTGCTACATGGACAACTTATTACTCTTTTGCTCTCGCAATGAACTACCCCTCAATACACACAAGTTCACATGGCGAACAAAGAGCATTAATTCGTCATTTTTGTCCATGAGAGCAGGGCAAAAGTGGTTGGTAACTCTTTAATTTTCAGAAAACATTGCTCACTGCAAAGCTATCTTGTATTCAGTGTGTTCGTTCGCACAGTCTTCTCAATTGCTAGTGTATACAACAAAGTGAGCTCACGCTATTTTTCTTCCTGTAAGAACATACAAGCATCCATGTGCACACATGTCAGCTATGAGAGTAACGACAAAAATAATTGCAATGGTTGTATGTTCCGAATTCACATTACCCTTATAAGGCACACCGTACTGGGGGTCTCCAAATTGATTTTGGCTATCTGGGGTTCTTTAAAGGGATACTGACATCATTTTTTGAAGAAGGGTTTACTTTGCCAGTGAAATCTTTATGCAGAGATGGCTCTGAGCAAGTAGCAAGCTCAGTAAGTGCTGATATTTTATTTTCATATTAAAGTCAAAATTCCCATGGCGTAGCTACCTACATCGACAAAAACTTGACGTCAGACTACAGTGCTAATTCTGGTGACTTCACACAGCAGTCTGGCTAGTTGTGACGATGTCTGGTACCAAAGTATCCAGAATAGCTCTCTGTACGTCGCCAATGGAGTCACGGTGCGGAAGGGCCGTGGAAGCGCCACAATATCGTGAGCGAGCACATGACGAGGAGCTCTTGCCATGTTGTCACGTCAGGGTACTATATACAAGAAGAGACACCCCAGCTTTTAAAGAAAAAAACGTACTGTGATTACTTTTTGAGGGTACACTCATGCTTATCAATACATTTTATGGTTCTTGAAGGCTTGGCTTTTTATTTGCAGCAAGAAAACAACAAATAAGTACTTTATTGCCAGTGCTTCTTTACGTAGATTCAAATCTGACATATGTCGGTGTTCTTGCATTTCACTTTTAGTGAAATGCAGCCGCTAAGGTCAGGATTTGGAACTGCACCCTTAGCAAGCCGTAAGAAGAAAAATGCTGCATTTGGCCTACCCAAGACCACATGAAATGTTTGTGGCTCAACAGTGGAGGTTATGTGACTGCATGCTTTTCGTGTACACCTACATAGAAAAATACATGCCAATAGACAGATATGACAAGCCCTTTGTACTGTATATCCTTTATTATTTATGTGTAGAAAGCCTTCTTTCTGGTGCATTTTCTATATTTACACGATATTTACATGTTTATAAGTCCAATGTGCACATTTGTCACATATCTTGAGGGCTTGATTCATGTCTTCTTCCTATATTCAAAAAAAAGAGCAGGAGAGAAGCAAATGTTATTACTACGTAATACATAAAGTATTCTTCAATAAATACATAAAACACCATTCAAATCTCACATTTAGCAATGAGACAGTTTGCTTGCAGAGGTTGTGAGGAGTGATATGACAGAGAACATGGTAGCATAGCTAATTACCTGCAGAGTACATGCAGGAGGTAGCAAGAGCAACGTTTTGTGACAAACTGTTTCTCAACAATGCAAACAGGCATGCAGAGAGCGGCAAAGTGGTGCAAGGTATGCAGAGGAGAAATAGGAGTCAGGTGCATGGTTCAAGTTGTCCACAGTATTCCCCACGCTGCCCAGCAGTGGCAGCCAGCATGCAAGTTTTCATTTTGTTAGTATACGGCGCCCCATGCACAGGCTTCGGGGCACAACATAAAAGAATGAGCTACAGACTCGCCCTGCTTTCCATTCGTAAAATGGTCTGTCATTGAGTGAATACTGGCTCCAATTTATTCAAAGGTGATACCTGTTAGAGTTTGAAACTTATGGTCTCTATAACCAATGTATTTGCTTGCGTAATAGCCAGAAGTTTTTTTTTTTTTTCTTAAACTTGAGCAGAAAATTGTGGATACAGTCTTAAGAAAAAAAAAACAAGCTCACTCCTCTTTTTATTGTCAATATTTGTGGCAGTACTTGACTTTATGGAAGTGCAATACTTGCTTGCTTTTGAAGAAGTGAAAAAAAAAAAAAGAGACAGCCTTTGTCACATAATCACAAGTACATTATCCCCTCCAGTGAACCTGCCAGGATATCAACAAAGAAAACCTGCCACTAAGCTTATAGTGTAGGCAGCGCACTGGCAGCAAAAGTGAAAGCTCGCGTCATAAAGCTGTAAAAGGTTTTAAATTTCCGGACGTGGTAGCAAACGCAATATCTGTAACAAGCTAAATAATGACGACCCTTTACCAGACAGGAAACTGTTAAGCACAGTTGATAAGGACGGAATCGCACATGCCATGTCGAACCATGCTCTGCTGGAGCCACGCAAGCGAAGCTAGTACACAGCGGTGTCGGTGCCTGTGCAAAGGCTTATTCGTCGTCGAGGCAACTGCTCTTCTTTTATACTTTTCTTCCCTCCGTCTTTCATTCACTCCGCATCACCACCTCCCCTGTAACGACCTTATAGCTCATTCCTCAGCAGCGCACCCAGCCCGCCTCCTTTCAGATGTGCACTCTCTACTGCATTTGTCACAAAGGTTTTCTGGCAACTGCATTACAACTGGTACCACAGCTTGAGGGACCGCACCATAAACGGTATGCGTATGCATGGGTTTCTGTGGGAGGGTAATTGGGAGTCGAAAAAGACCATATTGTAAGCGGTTACGCCCTAACTGGTCTACACAGCATCGAGGCAACAAACAGCACACATGCTTTCGTCACCCAGTGCTGGCAGCATCACGATGGCTTGTGCTAACGGTGGTCGAGTGAACCACAGGCGTAAAGCTGCATGCAATAATAAAATTCTCCAACATCGTGCTCAGTGCTTCGCTTTATAAATAAAACTAAGCAATCTTTTAGAGCATTCAATTGCACATTTTCCTTGACATATCGTGTTTTTTTTTTTTTTTAAGTACAAATGAATGACGTTTTAGTCTACCAGAGCGATGTCTTTCCACTGAATACATTACAAACAAAACGCAAGATGATAAATAAAGGCAAGCTCTCTTCTCGCTGGGAATGACAAATTCAACTGGGACAAATTTTTCATTAGATAGGGAGCTTTCTTTTGAAAAAGCCATACAGGTTTTCTTTTTAGCTTCGTGCAACTAACAGGTCAATCACAATTTCTTCCTTTTTCTCATTTGCAAGTGTTTATTTCTTCCTAATAAAATCTGAAATTGGAGGTGTAGGCAGCACTTACTTCTTCTTGAATGGAGGTGAACGGCCAAGCCTTGCAGTGTCCAGGGAACCTGACTCAACTGAGTCAACCAAAGAGCCTAAGCTGACTTCAGCAGAAATTGGTGGAGAGTCGCTCACAATCACAATTTCTTCATCTGCATCCAGCTGCCTGAAGAATGAGAGAAAGTCAAACCTGAGGGCATGGCTGCACCAATCCTTAATGTCAAGTTAGTCTAGGCAAAATATTAAAGCTTTTACTTTATTTAAAAGGACCAGCAACTGGCCAGAACCCTTTATTCTGGTGGAAATAAAAAGGTCATGAAGTATACTGAGTCTAGAATCCTTTTTGTGATCTGAGTAGGATTTATAAATTCAAATTGTGTTCGAACGCCACAAAAATTGGTGCGTCACACAGCTTAGTGCAACAGCCCTGAACCACAATTATGCAGTTCTGGTCACTTTGCTGTATGTAGTCTGATGCCATTTATGCGTACGATAATGAGGGCTAAAAATCTGAACATGCATATTATTGCCCATTCCTATTCACTTCTGTGTGGCTAACAGAGCGCGAGAAGTGGTGTTGCCTTCGTGGCTACCAGTAAAACAGAGACCGAGGAACATGCGCATGGCATTTCGAGCATCTCTCCACCCCTGTTGCATCCTTTTCAACAGGTGAAGCACATGAGTTTGCAAGTGAGATTGCTGCGCGACACGCAGAATGCCACCAACTTATTGTTTGGTAAGGAAGGAACTGCTGCATGAACAGCACTGCTGGCATGTATATCCCACAAACTGATACCTATCAAAACAAACAGAAAGAAGCAATGAGAAGAAGCCGCTGGTACCTAGTTGCAACCCATGCTCACGCTTGTACAGAGAATTTTCGTTCTCAGAATGTCCAGCGACGGCAAACCAAAACCATTCAACCACGGCAACCAGTGGATTGTCGATCACTTATAGAAGCTTTGTTTCATTTTCCAAAGCTTAGCTGAGCTTGGCTTGGCTAAAAGAAGAAGAAAATAATACCTGTGTACAGCCAAAGCCCCAGAAAAGTGCAGCAACTATACTAAAATAATTTAACACACTAAAAAGCAGTAGTTACAGCAACATAGACCTTACAAACATAACATTATGTGCTTACTATACTTTACTTTAGGCTTCACTTTTCTTCACTGCTGATGGATAATCGCTACTGCGTTCACATACCTCTGTTTGCAGCATGTGCCTACATGACTTCATAATCGCTGCAGACATAATTCTGATTATATTTTTTTATTATCAATATTTTACGGCATTTTCCGTGTTACTATCTTGCGAGTAGAAGCTCGCACTGGTAAGCTTTCCGTTGCAATCAAGAAAACAGGTACCACGAAAATTGGTTGTTGGTCTGTATGATAGCTGTAAACAACTCCAACTGCGCACTTAAATGTATTTCCAGTCCTTCATAGCGCAGGGAATTGACTAAAATGTACTACTATAATATATTTTAATTTGTGGATAAAAAAAACATTCTGCATGTGAGCTGCACATTTTTTTTTTTTTTAAGAACTTAAATTTTCAGTACATTAGGAGACTCGGCGCGAACTGTTCCTGTGCTCTGAACTGTTGTGAAATAATAGTAATACCTCTAAGTCGGCTTACATTCACGGCAAAGATACATTCTGCAGCAGCCACAATTTCAAATATGGGTCTAAGAATGGGTAATGTTAAACGATAAATAGATGTAAAAAAGACTTGTTCAACAATAAAAATACACAAGTGCCCCCCATAGAGTGATTTACAAAACGCTTATGAGACTAAAATGACAAAAAGTATAGAACCGATGCCCGATTTTTGCAACACTTAAGGGTTATTATGTCGTAAGAAAAATTGTGTAGTCTAAAAAAACAAATTTATGCCTTTTTATTTCCCCCAAGAAGTAAGACTGCCACAGCCTTGCCTGAAGCCACGTTCGAACTGCAAAAAGATGCTAGTACACTTACAAGGTTTCTCAGTGCTTGTACAGTAACACTCGGAAGATGTGCCCATGCCACTAACGTGACACGAATGAACGCTAACCATCAATTGTGTAACTGGTGTGCACCGCTGCTACCAACAAATAAATAAATTCAGTGCGTAACAATAGAGCCTGAAACATCTATCATAGAAACCTGTTCTATCCTTTTCACTGAACACCAAAGTCAATTTTGCCTCTAAGCTTTACACAATAAATGTTTTCTCTCTCTCCCACGACCATGCGTTTGCATACCATGTCGACACCAAGTAGCAGTTCTAGACTACAGTAGGCAGCACAGAGGCCAACGTGGCTACAGTGATCACTACTCCATATGTGTGCATATAGGCGTGCACAGGGTTTTAAATTACAAAGTATGAGCTTTATTCACCCCCCTTCCCTTCCCTGAAATCGTTTGAGTCAAAGAGAAAACAAGCTTTGCAATGGAAGCAAAAATGAAAATGAAATGATTACGTGCTTCTCGCAAGAGCCTGCTCTTGGTATCTGACTTTCCAGGAGCAAAAATGGGGAGCAATACGGTCCTTAGCCGACATTATGGTGAAAAGCTGCACCTTAAACAATCATAAACCAGGTCTGATTGAGTAAAGGCGTGTGCCCAGACCCCGTGTCCTCATGTCACCCGCAAAAGATTGATTCTTTCTCAATTACATTTATCTATCTTCGCATATCATTGAGGGACTTGTAGGGTGTCTCCACAAATTGAAGATTTCATTAAACTGAAACTGCAGCATAAATAACAACACTAAGTCCTGAACAAAAAAGAATAGTTTTTGACAGAGCTCAGATTGGGTAATACAGTCGACTCTCATTAATTTGATTTAGCAAGAAGTTTGAATTATCATAAGTTCTCAGATATATGACTGTGGGTGAGGCGACACCACACATTACGATTAGGCCTTAATTTTATCAGTTTTTTTTTAGCGTTTTTAAACCCTAACTGCATGCAATGAACAGAAAGCAGAGGTGTGAGGTCCCCAAGTTTATCAGCCATTTACTCCTAATCAGACATCTTAAAGAAATCGTGAATTGCCAACCTCTTTATTGTTACATGTGCCTTCAGCACAAAGCCCTCTACATCAGTCAAGAAGCATCGCAGTTTACATGTGTGAAAAAAGCAAAGCCTTTTTCCTTGAAGGCCTGAGACTCTAATTTTTCAATTTTGGACTGTTAGGAATATATAGCCAACCAAATATTAAATAGTAGTGGGAAAGCAGCAGATATTTTTTGGTATGGAACCACAAAAAGTATCAATTAACCACATGATGGAGTTGGAATTATGAGGCTTTTAAGTACATCGAAATAATAGAGGGCCAACCAAAAAATTGAATTTTGTATTAATTAACCAAAAGTATTAATTACCAGAGTTTGAATTATCGTGAGTACTGTATAGGTAACAGTTCTTCACACTGTGGATTTCGTTAAATCAAGGTTCATTATTAGTAGTTTAATGGCAATAACATTTTATCTAGGGGGTGGAGGTACTGTATTTAGTCACGTAATGAATGCACTCGCAGAATAAATGCACCCTCGAATTCAGTCATCAAAATTTGAATTTTTTTTTCACCACGTAATAAATGCACCCCCTACATTCATCCGCTGCAGTCCCGCTAACCAACACCTGGTGCCTCCTCACCCGTTAGATCTTTTCCATTTTTTGTTATTATGCCGACCCACTTTGGCCACCTTGGCTCGCTCCCTCCACCCCTTCACCAGTAGCTGCGTGCCATATTGTTTTTTTTTTTTTATCTGTGCACAGCACATGCCCCCCCCTCTCCTTTTTATCTGTGCGCCACAGCAGGGGTTCACGAAGGTGGGAGTGTAGAGAAGGTGGGAGTGATAAGCACACAGCAAGGGAAGGTCACAAAACTGCCCACGCCAGCCAACCGACCGACCATTGCTTCCTGCAAATACGAGAAAGCCCAACCACGTGCACGCGATTTTCGAGTGCCGATGATAGGATTTGCTGTCACAAAGGGTCATTTGTCGCTATCATGTCGCAGGTTTCTGGAAAACCAGAAAAAATAGCTTATCATCCAGAAAAGATTGTGAGGATTTCCGCAACATGGTAGCACCTTCGATTCTCACTTCGCTTGTTATCCGCGCGAACTGGAACTTCTTATGCAGAAGCGAGGCGAGGCGGCAGGGCCGTATTTTTTCGTCGATCTTGTTACCGACAGTTTGTTTTGATGCTACGGGGGTAGCTTGCAGCAATGTTGGTTACTTACTACAATGTTTAGCGGCCTTGTCACGGTCGTTGTGCGAGGTTGCCACGTAGTTGGCAAAGTGCGTCGTAGTGCACCTTTCTGGGTACCCCTGGAGATCACAGGAACCACTATTGCGGGTAAATGATTACGAGAAAAGAAAGCCACAAAATGCTTCTATGGCTTGCACGGGTGACGTGGGGACAGCTTGCAGAAAATAACACTATCAACCACCGAAGATGAGTAAAGTGCAACAAAGAAGCTGTTTCCAAACAGTGTGTGCGTATGTCAATGGCAAAAGGCTAATTGACCTAACTTTTTTTTTTGCATTACCGCATTTATTGCTCATCCCGAAACAGTTTTCATAAAATTTGCCTCGCGTAATAAAGGCACCCACCCAACTTTGCTCTGATCTTTCAAGAAAAAAAGTGTATTGATTACGAGAGTAAATACGATAAATTGTTAGTGCTCTGCTGTCCCACCTGTCTTTGTCTCATTTCACCTCCCTAACCCCACCCCCCCTCCCCGAGATCCATGACCCTTTAACTACAGGCGTCCAGAGGGTTGCCCTTCAGGGGGGTTAAAGTTTGTTCCAGTGCCCCCCTTTCTCCTCTTAGGTGACCAGTAGGCGAGAGGGACCAATGTCTTGCCCCCTCCCTCCCCCATGCAGATACCTATGCCTCCAACAGCGATTCTACTTGAAGCAGAGAGCACCAGAACACACCCTGTCGATGAAGCAGTTGAACCCTTGCGATGGTGTGCAAGCAACTGTTGCTGCTGCTGTGCAGGGCCCCTGGATGTGTCATCATCTTTCAAGGGCCCACCTTCTAGGTTCTGCAGAACACGATGAAGTTCATCCATGGGCACCTCTTCTACCTCTGCCATGTTTTCATCTCCGTCTTCCAGGCTGGGAAAGTGGATCTCACTTGCTGGCTCCTCCTTTACCCTGGCAAGGCAGAGACCCCAGAGAATATCAACGAGGCCTGCCAAACTCACGGCTTGTGCACAAATACAAGCAAACGCTTAGAAGCCTCACTCAGAAAATTGACAGCGATTTTCAGAGGCAAATACATCTCAACGAAATTCGCTGAGTACGTTCATTTTCACATTTACATCATCTGTCTCCAATCACAGGCAGAAGAGATTTGCAGATTTTTGTACAAATGAATTTTATAGATTGCCCTGACTTTCACAACTAGCTTCCAACAATTATTGGCCTGTGTGTGTGTGTATGCCAACGCCAATGCAACGGAACTGTGGCAAGACTAAATCGTCTGCTGTTCACAAGGCAATGATCGCGTGTGTTGCTTAGCTAACCTTTCGTTGGTTCGGCGCACAAATTTCAGTTCGTTGTGAACCTGCTAGCGATGGGTGGCAGGTGGTATTGGGTTGTGGTTGCACATGATTTCCCGTAAGATTACCCAAATATTCAGGAAACACTCGGATGTTACGATTACTCTTCACCTAGGTATTATATATTCTTTCAGCTAGCAGTGCCGACTCACTTCACAGGAACTGTGTTAATACCGTACTGGCAGAAGAGGGCCCATGCCTGAACATTACGGTGGTATGCTAAGCGAGCACATAACCACATGGAACATACTTTTTCTCATGTATACAGGGCGCACATGACAGGCATAGCGCGCCCTGCGAAAGGGGGTGCGTACTTCTTCTAAATTATATTCTCTCAGCCATGCCAGCGCAATTTTAAACTCCGCTATTGTTAGACATATGCACTCTTCTTGCAGCAATATTAAGAAGCTTCAGTTAGTCCGCAAACTTTTCAGCTATAGCATTGTACTGATCACGGCCCCACAAACTTGAGTAGCCTGGACATGAAGCACCATCCGACAATGGAATGCACAACCAGCAAATGCTATTCCTCTTTGGTGATTTTACTTGGCCTTCACATGCGTCTGATCTCAGCTGTAATTTTTAAACACCTCCGAGGAACTTGTGCACATAGCACAGTCAGTAACAGTTATGGTGCAGCTGTTGCGATTAGGTCCCCTTTCCCCTGTGCGTCAGCTCTTTGCCACTTCGTGCTGGCGAGACCGGCATGCCTTGCATGGTTTTTACTAACGCTTATGTCACATGAAGATAGTGCTGTGGTTGGTTTTCGGTGTTGTACTTTGTTGCTTATTTAATATTATTCTAAACTTTGCCAAGTATTTCTGATATCAGGTCCATGACATGAGCTTCTGGGGAACATAAAAACACTATTATTTGAGATGGTCAAAAAATCGCTGGAGTTGGTCTTTAAGCTATCGCTATGGAGAGCACAGGATAGAGCCTATGCTTTCACATTTGATTCACTGTAATTCACATATAATTCACTTTAATTAATCTCTGATTCTTTCTAGTTCACCTTCATTCACATTTGACTCACCTTTTGCATTTGATAATCACTTATAGTGATGTCGCTTAAAAACTTCAAATTTTTGCCTGGGAAATGCGGGTTATGTGCGACAAATGACTTTTCGTACTATTTGTGTTGAAAATACCAGACATTACATGCCTTACTCATAAATCATATGAGGCTTTTAAATGAAAACAGTCAAATAAACTTCTGTGGCAGCCCCCCCCCCCCCCCCCCCCAATGTGAACAAGTGAACAGAGGCATGAAAGCACACTGCAAATGACTGAATAATAGTACTGATTATGTAGGTAATTATCAGTATATAACAAGTGTGTACTGCAAAAGTGTTAATTAACATTTGCAGTCAGGTTGGACTAGTAAGACCAGGAATATAAAGTGTACATACAAGTGCACAGTTTCAACAGATCTTAATTCATTCTCTTCGCATGAGTGTTCTTCCCCTCGGGCTCTAGTTAAATGTCACTACAGTAGCTTTAGATCAAACCTTTAACCCTTCATTCAGTAACCTGCATTTGAAAGTATGTATCCACACATGGGCAAAGGGTCTAAAATACAAGTTTCACATTGACTCTTTACAGTAATGTCAGAGAGGACAGTATATCTGTGCAGCACTGACTTGACATTTCTGGAGTCGTCAGATGAGCAGCTTTGTGGCAGCTTGACCTTGTGGTAGGTCTGGTGTAGCTTGCGACAGGTTTTCAGCATGTGTCGATTGTAGCCAACGATGTGGTCATCAAAGAACTCAACCAAAGACTGCAGTCCTCCCAAGCCAGATTCATGCAAGGCATGGTCCATGGCATCCTGCGAGATTACATAATTATCACAAACTATAAGGCACAGCTGATGGCATGAAAATCACATGTACACAAACTTCATCTATAGTGGAAAAGAAAAAAAAAAAGTAATAAAATTGAATAATGTCTGAGAAACCACAGCATGAACTGAAACTTTCAAGCGAACTGGAAATAAAGACATGGTGTTACACCGTACAAGCACAGATATTTGGTGGCACTCTCCTTTTCATAGCCATTCCACCAAACTGAAAGGTTTGGTTGGGTTATTGTGAAACTATTGACAATGAAAAATCAGCCTCTGCTGTTTGATATCTTGAAAACTGCACATTTTATTGGAACATTCACTGCCTTTGCAAGAACAGTGCACGAATACAGCTGAACCTCGTCGTAGCGAAGTAGCATCCTAACAATAAGTCAATTCCTCTTAGCTGATATTCATTTTAACAGGAGAGATATAAATCGGCTTTAAAAAATGAGCAATATGGTTCCTGCAAAAATTCTCGACACAAAAATGCATTATGTTAGGCTTCTAACCCACTATAAAGGAGTTAATCCTTGCCTGTCTTCGTGTGGTATATTAAACTCTGACTCGTACGGTGGCGTGACCGGTCAAATACATGTTTTTAGTGCTCGATAAACAACATTTCTGCAACTTTTTCAAATCATTACATATGCAGGTGAAGTACGCTTCATCATTTACTTTTCTCTCTATGTTATGCTACCTTTTGAGTTTTAAGCTTTGCTTGAACTTAATATTTCTTCATTACAGCTGATAAAGAGGCCGATCTTGAGTTTTTGGTTTTATTATAAAGAAATGAATGTCACTGAGATGCGCTGCAACCAACTAAAGTTCGTATTTAATTTGCTATTACCAATAATTTGATGTATCAGACTTTGTAACAATGAGGTTATCCCATACAAATAAGCCACAAAATTAATTAAGAATTTTCAAAATTTTTAATGAACAGCATCTAAGATAATATACAGTCGAATTCTGCTATAACGAATTCTGCTACAACAAAATTTCCACCACAACGAATAATTTTTTATTCCCCGTCAGCCACCCACAGTAAACAAGGTGAAAAATGTCTCGTTGCAACGAATACATTTCCTGCATATTTCCACTTTAACAAAGTTTTTTGCGAGTACAAAATAAACTTGTTTTGGATTGCCGCAAAATTCAGACACTAACTCGGCCACCTCTCGACGACTCGTGCCATCTAGAGGGCACGGTCATATCGCCACAACCGTGTTTTCAGTGGATTCACACTTTCTGCCATTACACGCACATCTTGCTAAGTTTATCACCATTCAGATGCAAGGCAATGGCTCGCCCATTTGCCATGATGCTGCTGGTGGATTTGATGTACGTGCGTGCTGTCGCAGAATCACAGTCTTCAAGAACGTCGCGCCTAAAACAAAACTACCACTCGTCGTCATTAGCCCTGTGACCGTGAATGACAACCACATGTCATGAAGGTGTAAATGCGAGCAGAGCGCACCTAGTCCCAGCGTAACTGCATTCTGTCGCAACTACTGCGAGCACAAATGCAGTTGTGTCGAACGCGATTATGGGTGATCAAGGAAGTATGTGCGCAATCAATGCGCATTGACTCAACCCAATATTTCTTGCCGTAACGATGCGAACATAGCAACAACGCACTTCTTAAGACATGAGCACGGCCAGTGTAGCGCACACAGATTGAAAAATAAACTATAGTGTTTGCCGCAACCGTTGCGCAGGAAACGGTGGTTGCTATCGTCTCAGTCAGTCAGTCAAGGAACTTTATTTGGGTCCTAAGGAACTACAGAGCCGTAGTTGTGGGCCGCGTCCTTTTCATTGATAGCGAATACGATCTAAAGGTGCACAGCTATAAATTAAAGGCAATAAAGGCACAAGACAACACAAAGCATTACAGCTTTCCTGACGGTCCCTTATGACCTCGGTAGTGCGAAGCTTCGTCACTTTCAGTTGCAGGTTGGCCTCTAGTGAAACTTTGGTACGCTCGTTTACGGCGCTGTGCACTCAGCACGCCCCAAGAGTCGTCTGTATGTCGTATTTTCTTCTGTATAACCCACCCCTGCTAATAACCGGCACCCCCGACCGCAGGCTGCTGGAGGAAGAAAAAACTACCTGCGTGTTAATGCAAGGCTGTCCCTTTTGCATTGCCGTGGAGCCATGACGTGAAGCCAACTTGCGTGCAAAATGCTCGTATAATTCACAGCACCACTTGAGTTCCTGAGTTTCTGTATATTTTAACAGCGTTATACTCGAGAAAGTTGATTCACTGATCAGTATTCAGCCAAGTTAGTATGAGTTGGCGAGAGTTCAATACATGCCCTTGCTGGAACCAAAAGACGAGTCATAGTCATCGGATCTTACTTTTGTGGCCTATACATGAGATTCCGCTACAATGAAATTCTGCGACAATGAATCTTTTCACGTGTCTTGTCAATTTCATTTTAATGGGATTTGACTGTAATTATTTGCCCACAATATCAGTACAAAACTATATCAATATTTGTCTGAAACTGTAACTGAATCGCTGAAATTTGACACTCAACAAATTCCAGCTGTGTATGAACATACAAATGTTGCTTTTCATTTAAAATTTCACTAACCTGGTTAGGTAAGTAAGAAAAGTGGCAAATGAATAAGCATTTAGGGAGGAATATTAACTACAAGTAATTTGTTCTTACCACAAAGCCCGTTTGACCAGTAAGTGCCTCCCTGTCAACAACACTACGAAGCTGCCAGCAGATTCGACGATAAATGTCACCGCAGACGTCTGTGAGAACCTCCAGCACAGAGTTCCAAGTGGCTGAGAATAAAATGCAACAAAATGTGTATTATCAGTTCACTCTACAATAATTTTATCTCACAAAGTTTCATTTGTAAACCAATGTCTCAATATTCTATCATTTTCCTCCAGCAGCCATCATACCTGTATGTCCACTTTTTTTTTCACCTGCACATGGCAACAAGCAATATCTTTGTTGTATAGACCTTCCAGTGAGAGTTAGTTCATTTGTAACTAAGAACAATAAATTGATTATAAAAGCAAGAAAACTGAGGGTGAACTTTACTGGTTGATGTGGAGCAAGTTCTATTTCTCCACAGTCAAGAATCCTAATTCCACAAGTAAGTTTGGAGCGACCAGCTCAGCATTCTATGTTGACCCGCCTTGTGAAGTGGAATTTCACTAGAGCCCTAACAATGCAGTGCAGTAATTTGCAGTCAGACTGACCACCTTACTTGCTTTCAGCGCTTCCACCTGTGTTGCAACTAGGGCAACTGGATGCATAACAACTTTCACTGTGCTCCCAGCTGGTGCAAGTTAATTTTTTGCGCGTAGATTTGAAATCAGTCATTCTGCAGATAACTTTTTGCTTCCCTCATAGATATGGCCCACTGCTTGAGATCTATCAGTGAATTTCACCATGAGTTTGTTCGTACTAGTACAGTAGAATCTTGGCAAGAATTCAACTTGAATGTATCAACCACCTCTAATAGTATTAAATTAAATAACATAAAAAAAGGCTTTCGGTAATCAGAACCAAAAAATTCTGCATTACCATGCTAACGGAATCGAAAATGGAATATATTGTAAATGCTATTACTCATTACTTTTCATGAGCCGCGATGCCATGAGCATCACCTTTTTTGTTCCGCCAATCCATCCCAGCATGCTATTCAGCACATTCCTGCATTTCTACCCACTGATTGGTTCATGGGGATGCTATGACATAATGGGCCTAAAATTCCACTGTTACAAAGTGTGACGGGATGGCAAAATTTCAGTGTCCAGAAAAGCATCCGCTATGCCTTTCTGTTCCTTCGTATACCTCGTAAACGTCAGCAGCATAAGCCACTTCATGAATCATATAAAAGACTGGGTGTGCAAGCACAGACACAAGAGAGAAGGTAAGAGTCACCACAGTGCAGGAGAAAAAGTGTTAGCGATAGAAAATACAGTAAGCATGAAAACTTATCTGCACATTCCCAGGCAAGAGGCTATGCCTGTCAACCTATAGGAGTCTATGTGAAAAATAACTGTTTAGAACAAATTAAATGCATGAACAGTAGCGGTCTGTCATCATTCGGACTTTCTAATATTGTTAAAACACCGTTTGCTATTTGATACAATTCACAGATAAATTTTACTATTCTAACTTCCGGAAAATAAATATAACCGTTCATAATGTAACGTAAAATTGAAGTACAGCATGATTGCTTGTGTATTTTGCCTTTTGGAGCATCAGTATGTAATACTGTTAGCTACTTCCGCCAGTGCTCTGAGTAGTCACTGCACCACGAATTCGTCTGGGGTGTCCGTTGCCGATGCAAAAAATGCATATCTACGGTTCGGAGGAACCAGCAGGCAATGCAATTTGTTGATCGCAATGAGGCCCATTATGTTTTCTTCGCCTTGCATGTACGTAAGCACAATGTTCTTGTTAGCATAGTTCGGGTTCTTCTCATACAATGGCACTGTGAACACAGTTAGGCCTAGCCACAACTTTGAGCTGTAAGCTCGCTCACAGTGTGCATAGATTTGGTGCCTAAGCTTCAAAGTGGTATGTAAAGCTTGATCGCAAATACAAAGAACCGTCCCGTCACTGTCTTCATAACGATGTCCAAAGTTATAATAAGTGGAACCTCTCATTACCGAGATGCGCATTTGCGATGTTTGCTAGGCGCACTATCGCAATGAGGTCAGTGAAATTCTGCTAGCAGGTTCCAAGGTAAAGCGTAATTATATGTTAATTTATTGTCGAGCTATGCACACAGAAGAAATGCAATCACTTCGTAAGTATCATAGACAGCTGTGACCTCAGATGAGCAAGCGGCAGATGACCTTTTTCGGAGCAAGGATCAGACCAATGACGATGCATGTTGGAGCAACGACACGGATGTGGCCAATCAAAGACCTCAAAATGAACTTTAAACAATTGCTTTTTGTACGCTTCTCTGTGAATGAAAAACTTAGCTGAAATGCTGAAAACAAAGAAATGCTATTTTCAATGAGCCCAATATAGTGGTGCCCGGTAGTGCCGTTATAAAGTTATAATTTTTATTTATAGAATATAATTTAATATATGCTTAGGGATCCTTTCTTTTCTCGTAGTTTTACTTTAAACTATTGAGAATTATTTGAAAATCATTAGGTTCTATTTGCAATAAAACTTCATCACTGAAATTCGGTTTGCACCCAAGACTTTGCTATCCATACAGCTCTAATGTGCTGCTATGTTTAACGTAGACCCCATGCATGCTGAATAAACAGATGTCGCCTCTTGCCCAGGCATGAGATGTGTTTCCGTGCCTACTTTTTTTTTGCCACAGTGCACCTTCCAGTTGTTAGTCTGCATTTGTGGCGTCTTGAGTTCTCTTATGTCCATGTTTGCACGCCCACATTCTTCTAACATGAATACGTACCGACAACTCAGCTGTCTGTTGTCCTAATAATGCAGAATAACTTTATCGTCCCTTCCATGGGCCCAAAACAAGCCCCCTCAGTTTCAAGGAAATGTTCCTGTTGCGGTAGTCTTATTTCATGCTTCACTTCCGCGACATGAAGCATCGCGTCAGCGTCTGAAGTCAGAGATCCCAGATCACCTTTTTTTACACTGCCACAGTGCATGCGCCCTTCCCCTAGCAGGGCAGTTCAGAAATGATTTTGTAGGAGCCCACACAAATTTTGATCTTGGAGGACCTTGATTCTAGTATCTACAATGACCCCCCCCCCCCCCGCAGTGCCCTGCCTTTTACCAAAATAACAGAGGGTAGCATAGACTATGAAAAGGCAAATTATTTTAAGTAATAAATTCTCCATCAAAATGCTACAGAACAATGATCGATCACAATCAAGCGTATTCATAGACAGCAAAAGGTGCTAAATTGCTGTGATGAAACCAGGTACTTTAGTCAAAGGATGGGTAATGTTAATCTGTGCATTAAGATAGCAATCATAAATATTACAGATATGCATGGCGAGAACTGTGTTGAACGAACATCATCATTAACCAAAAAAGCCATATGTATGCAAATTGTAATAAAAACACTTTATTTAGTTTCATTTTCTTTAAATGTGTTTCTTTTCTCTTTATGGCCCCTCAGGTCTCTAGTCATATACTGGAACATCAAAAAAGATATATGCATGCTCATTGCACAACATGGCAAAAGCCACTACGGCCCATTTTGTTACCACATGATGTATTCTTTAAAAAGTTACCACTAATGCGTAATGCTCTCGTAAAGGTGTTTCAACCTCTTAAGCACTCTGAACGAGCCGAGCTCATTCTGCCCAAACTGCTTTGGACGAGCAGAGCTCGTTCTGTCAGAATAGATGCTTATTTTTAGTGTTCAGGACAAGAAGCGCTCATCTACGGCTCGCATTGCGTGTCATCCGCTTGATAGCAGCACTTACTCGATGATTGTTTGATCCCACGGCAGGAGTGCGGTGTTTTTAATAGAAATATAGTGTGCCGTGCAAAGCTGGCTCGTCAACACGAAAAAGAAGCAATACTTTGCAGACTAGTTGGTTCATACTTGCAACCTCGACTTCCTGCGCAAGCTGAAGCAAAACGAGAAGAGAAAAAGAAAAGGAACTGCGCACTTTCCTGTCTCCCTTCTCACTTTCCTTCAGCTTGCACAGCAAGTCGTGTTGTAGTGAAAAGAAGCTTTTCATTTTCGTCACCTTCTTCGAGTGACCTATTCGGACACAAATGTTTATCTTTGTCCAAAAGTGATGACAGAGATGACGGCGAATCGGGCAGTTCTTCTGGTGATGATGAAGGAAGCCTGGACACGAACACTGCGAGTGCTCACTAGTGAAGCCGCTTTGGTTATTTTGTGTTTTGCAATTTTCCACACAGTCCCAAAGCTTCTTGAGTGAAATAGCCCAGAGGTGCTTAGCCTACACAAGTGAAGAAAGCTGTAGCATCTGCTACTCTTCTCTTCATAGGGTTTTTATCTTCATTAGCAGCAGATGTCTGGTTTCCTATACTCTCACTAATTGGAACCTGATGGGACCAGTGCAGTATGTTCTGTTTAACAGGAGTTCCATCTACTGAGAGATGACCAGAGGTGTGAAAATTAAGAACAAAACCAATCTTGCTAGGAGCCCTTGTTGCATTTAACAGCAGTTCCGTTTAACAGATTTTTCGTCTACTCAGAGTCTACTGTATTGTTCAGAGATTTGTTGATTTGACCAAGTATAGGGCACAAATATTTTTTGTCCAACGTCAACTAGCTGCTGTCTAATACAATCAAATTCAAAATCAACAATAAAAGAAATAGGCACTTTTGGTTAGGAAATTAAAAAAAAGTAAAGCACTTAAGGGGTTAATGTGACCATACCTCAGTTCTTTCACTTAGCATATTGCAAGGTTCTTTCTATGCTGACTATAACGACACCTTCTCTGTAACCTTTTGAACTGAAGTGGAAGAAAAAATATCGAGAAGATTCCTAAGCATGTCCTGATAAGATGAAAACATGGAAACATCTTTTTTTGGCTAGGTAGTTGTTACTTTTTATTGTTAACAAAAACAAAAAAATAAATGGAATTGTTGCGATATTTTGGTGACAGCAAACACACAGTGGCACCACAAAGAGGGGGCAGAGTGACAAGAAAACAATGTACATGCCTGTCAAAACTGAGCTGATTCACAGGGAGAGAAGGAACTAAATATCTCAGGGAGAGAATGTGGCAGACAGCTGGTGATAGCGTAGTAAAAGGGGACAAGAATTTCGCTAACACCAGTCGGGTGTACACTTTCACGTTAATATGCTGATACCAGATGTGTGTTCCACATTTTCATTCTCTTAGTTAATCAATTTCCCATTTTCATTGGAGCAGCAGCCACAAATATGACACAAATTATCGCTACCACAGAAGAAAAATACAACAGAAGACAATGATACAACAGGAGCACTGTAGACAATAAAAGAAGCAAATGGTGAGAACTTACTGTCAAACCCAGCATGTGCACAGATAGCTGTGACTGCTCTCCGAAGAAGAATCCTGGTTGCATGATCCCCTAGTGGAGGTGGTGGTTTCCAAGAGCATTTTCTAAACAAATAGAAAAGCAGGCAAAGCACACTAAGGGGCACCACCACTTCATTTGGGTACACTATTTGCTCAATCATTCAACAAGAGTGGTTGATTTGAAGGGCCTCCTTAAAGGGTCTCTGAAACGATTTTTCAAAATTTTGTCAGCATTTAGGCTATAGCATCCTGAAGTCATTTGCACCATAAATTAAGCAACACATCTCGAATCTAGAAAAATAAAATGTCACCATCCTTCACAGCACTCCTTTTCATCTTTGAACATGGAGCCATCACCAGTGACTGCAGCCTACTGCTAAAATAGATCACAGACGCCATGTAAAAAGAAGTGCATGATAGAGCACTGGCATAACCACGGTTTATAATTATTTAATGCAATGTGAGCAGCTGCCACTGATCCCTTATAAAGGGAGGAAATCGGCGGGCTGATTCAAAGGGCGGAAGTATCGGCCCCTCGAAACTCACCACGAAAGCATGGACAATTTAGAATTGGTCTTTTTGGTGCATCAGCGAACGCTGGCTGTAGCCCATAAAATGAGGCAGAGCCGAGAGTTGATAACAAAATAAAAATAAATTCTCAGATATGGCAAAACAATCAACACAAATATGCGCACTTGGCAGTTATCATATATAGTACGACACCACTCATTGAATTTGAAACAACGGGCGACACAACACAACAAGATACACTCAGAACAACAGGCACAAACAACAGCACGTGCTACAATGCAATCTCATACATAAACTAACCAAGCACACTTAGGGACTAAAATGTCCTTCAAATGTATTCAGTCCAAAGTTCTCGGAACAAAGCTTAATGCTTCTCTTCAAGAAAACACTCAAAGTCCAGTGCCGGTTGTCGTCCCCCTGCGTCCGAGGTTTCTTTTCCAGGAAACTCTCGCGTCGTGAACTGACCAAACTTCAATAACAAAATCTTTTCGCCAGCAACACATCGGCCACTCACGCGCTGCTACTGCAGAACACGTCTTCACCCACGAGCGCTAAACACACTCATCTCCTGCTTGTAAGAAAAGCCTTCACCCGCAGGTGGAAAACCCTCCATCTCCTTTGCTGCAGTGACTCCCTCCGCTGCTTGCTTATATGCACTAGCCGCTGGGTTCCCCAAATTTCTAGGCGTTTCATCGGCGCATTGCACAGTCAAGGCTGTGGAAAAGGCGGGACCCCTCTTGTAATGTGACGGAACTTTGCAGCACCTTGCCCCTTTCCTTCGAGATGTTTCTAGAGTTTGCTCTGCAACAGGTGTGCGGAGATTGGTCGGCGTGGTGGCAGCGCCTTTCGAGGGAGAGAGAAGGCATGCGTGGGGCTTCTTTTGATTCTTGTTTCTTCGTTGCGCCAGCTTTCGCCGCGTCCGCACAGCGCCTGGTATTGTCGCTGCCACTAGAATTCGGAGGTGCGCGTTTTCTTGAGTGCTCGTTTATGACAGTAGCTAATATACAGTATTATCCGGGGTATAACAAGCATTCCCCCCCCCCCCCCCCTATTTTCGCTGGTGCATCTTGCATAACACAAGAAGTCATGCATTCGTAAAAAGATACCTAATTTTGTTATAACAATAAAACAGGTGCGATATTAGCTATTTGTTCAAGCTAATTGTTCAGGCACAGAGAGTACGGCTGCAATAAAAGCCACAATCATCACACCAACTATTGCATTCTTCTAATGGTTTGTTCTTAAACGAATCATAAAGCTACAAAAGTGAGGGAACGAATTAATAAAGAAAAGCACTACAATGTTTCAGTGTAACGTTTTAGAGCACGCAATACCAGTTATGGCAACAAAAGTATCACTTTGCCATCATCTTCATCATCAGTTTCCGTGTGAGGACTCACTCCTGCCCTGAAATAGTCGCAGCTTCTGTCTACCGGTTGCCATTTACATTTTGTATACATGTGGGTGTAACCTACACCCACAAGTGTCAAACATGCGGCGTGATCATTACTTACGTTTCTGATAAGTCTCATAACTGCTGTAGAGACAACGCAAATGAAGTGCTCTAAGGTACTTTCAACACCCCGCAAAGGAGTTACTAAATGCTGACAGCGGCAACCTATTACTACTATTTTGAAGCATCCCTACTGCCAGAGCCAGGGTCATCAGCGAAGAATGCACTAATGATGAAGTAATATTTTTAAAATAAAGTTTACAATAACACGAACAAACCTTGGGCACCCTTAGTCATGAGGCTTAGAGTCCAAATTTTTCCGAACATGCAATGAAAACATGATCAAAAAGCATTCCCTTCCTGTGCTATTTGACAGCAGCCAGGTAGTGCATATAGCGTTTTAATGCAGGACGAACAATGTCACCAAAGTGCAAGTAAGCAGGAAATTTAAAGGCTTGATGTTGTTCACATGAACGAACTATTTTAGAACAACTCCTAGAAGAGAATACCATATTCTGTCAGTTTTAGAGGAAACCAGAAACAAAGCCAAATGCATGTAAATCATGCCCAAAATGCTAGCAGCAAAGATGGAGCACTTACTTGTCGGACTTCATTTCAAGGCGACTGTTATTGCCCGGGCTAGTTAGGCCAGGGATGCAGGGACCTTCTGGTATAGGTGGCAAGTACTCAGCTTCCAGTGGCTTCTGAGTGTTGTAAGGAGACAAACACAAAAGCGTTAAGCTCTTACAGCACATGTACCCAAATTTCAGTTACAGTATTCACAAGCAATCTGATTTTTTAAATTAATTTTCATGCAGACTGAACAAAAATAACATTTTTCTCATGTCATAGGGAAGTTGCTATAAAAAATTAATGTATAAATTATGGTGACATTTGTTTTTGAACCTAGGACTCGCACTTTGATGGAGAGTGTCTTAACCACTCAGCTACATGCCTGCACTTGCAGTCAGAAAATATATCAGAACAATATGAATATGTAATACCTAGCAGTGCAAAATAAATGTGAAAGAACACTTCATATGACTGCTTCAATAAACTTTGTGGGGGTCAAAAAAAAAAAAAACCCTCTAAGACGTGTAAAGCCAACACGAATTATTCTATGAATCAGGAAAACTTAAACTGTGTGAAACCTGAATGGTACAGACGTGTTTAAGCGGTGGTGTGCTGTTTCTTCTACGTTCCTTCACCAGACACTGACAAATGCTGAAAAGGAGTTGAAAGAACCCATACTAGTGCCAACCAAAACCCTACATTTGATCAAAGGCCACAACATACAATAAAGCTCGACGTTTACATAACTCTGAGATAACTCCCAAAAAACAAGTATTCCTTATCATTAATGAAGATAGAACCTTTGTTACAAGAGCTAGTTAGCGTTAATAATTCTGAACAATATGTACTAAGAACAACATCTTTCTCATGAGAGGCAGTAAGAAACATAGTTTTTTGCATTTTGTACTGTTTATTAAGAAGCACCCACTAGCTTGAACCCTCACACTGTTGGAATTAATATCCCATTTTTGTTTGTCACACAGAAGCTAGGCCATCTGCTGTTATTTGTCTACATGGAATATAACACCACAATACTAAGTGCAAGGGCTTTCATGACTAGAGAAACACATGAATGAGCTCTTCCAGCTATTCCTATTTGCAAGTGAATAACCTGTTCACAACCAACACATGGCAAGTTTTGAAAATTAGAATGTATGTCCACATACAGCTGCACCAGTGTCATCATCATCAAGCACCCCTCCAAAAGAAAGCTAACTCCATCATGACTAAAGACATGGAGGTCAAGTTGACACATTCACTAACTTCACAGCACATTCAGGCAGCCTTCTCAACAATTTCTTAAGCAAGCTGATCCCCATCATGAAACAAAACAGAGCAATCATTCGACAACGGCCAACGCTTGCACTCCTGGCAGTGACGGGCCAAGTGTCTATCATATCCTTTCTTTACGTTATTGGCATGTCCACTTAGGCAATGGTTAAGGCAGCAATCTGACCGGTCATTCGAAGACCCGCCACAGCAAAGCCAGAACTTATACGTGGCTTTCATGTGAAGTCACCATTCACCATATTGATGAACAGCTGCAACGATAAGCCGTACAACTACTGCAGTGTTCAGTACAACCAAGCTGATGGAGCCACACCGCCATAGCTACTTTCTTTTTGCAAGGCGTTTCTTGTGCATTATGCCACGGGCTGGCACAACGCAGACATTAAATGCAGTGTACTATTGAAAACTGATAGAGCAAGTGCCGTCGCTGTGAGGAAGAGGTACGGTTGTGTAACAGAGAGGATCCCTACACGCTTTGACTCAGAATAGACATGAATTCAAACATCTGCACCTTTTCTGAACTTCCCAGAAACAGTGACATTGCGAATTGTTTGGTTTTCAGCTTTAACCTTGTTACTTTGGGTGAAATGAAGGCATACAAGTCAATAGAATCGCGCAACTACTTTACCAGCAGCTGGGTAAAGAGCAAGCCTGCAAAGGAGCTCCACGACCATAATTTTGATCGTGCTTGCAGAGATAACTTGAATGGTTCATCAAGTTGATCCATTTGCCAGCCTCGAGTTATCAAATAGCAAAGCATGAAAGCTGCTCAATTCACAAATGCTGTTGTTCGCACTTAGTTCTCACAGAGGTGTTCACGCGGCAGGGCCTTTTTAATTGCACATCCCCTTTGCTGTCAATTTTGTCATAAGCATATAAGGTTGTATGTGTATGTGTGTGAATGTAGTAATGAAGGTTTTGTCAATGAATGTGGACCGCCATTGAGAGCGAGCCGCATTCAGCTTTATCAGCACGCATCGGCCTGCGCTCAGCATCTGCTTGCTGCTTTTTGCGACGCTTTTTCCCGCGCACTTGTAATGCACAGCACCTGCATGCTTGAAGCTGTAGCCGAGTCATATAAACTGCCCAGTCTGGGTTCATCTAGTCAGCCATGCAGACAGCCTTCCTATGAACGCAAAAGCGTCTGTGCCTTCATCTCAGTTTTCCGTTTGCCTACTACGAAGCACACGCCACACGCACAAACTTTAGAGCTTTCATCATTAAAATTCTCATGCTTTATGTGCACCAGCCACATCCGCCAGCCATTTGCACTGAGCATCCTTGTACGCCTGCAGTGGCCTTAAATAGCCCCTGGTATTCGAAAGAAGCTCACACTAGTGGGCTGCTTCCATTTTCCGTAACTGTTGCTGCAATTATAGCAGCATACAGGTGAGCATGTAACCTTATGGCGAATTCCACTCGGCGAGCGGGAGCAAGTTTTCTTGCTCCGTGGCCGAGAATCTGCATTCCGCTGGTAGATTCGGAGCAAGTTTGTGTATTTTACAGGCAAATTAGGAGCAACTCTCTTCGTGACGGAGCGTTCCACGTGCTCCATCGTACAGAGACAACTTTCGCCGGAACTCCGAGAACGCATTGTCGTCATTTCCAGCACAGTAGGGCAGCCCTTTTGCCTGCAGCTGCCTTGAGCGTTTTTTTTTTTCTTTTTTCGAGGCGGTGCTCTTTGCATGTGTTAAAATTTCTGAAAAGCATTGCCTGATGCTGTTGGTTTGCTTCTCGCTTTGAGCGACAGCGAGAGCACTAGTAGCAGCAGCGAGGACGAGCTGCACATGCTTTCTTGCCGTGTGCACTGCCGAAGTCTAGACCGAAGATAATTGGCTATGTCAAGGAAGTTTTCAGGACTGGTTTAGTAACGTATGTGTAAACAACTTCCGACGCGACCTTAGGCGGGGCATTCATGTGTTCCACTCGCAGATCTGGCTTGGCGCAATCCGAGTGCTCGCTCCAGGATTTCGGCGGCCACTCCGGATCTACCAGTGGAATTCACCATTAGTGATGGGAGAAACTTGCTGGGTGGGCGAGGCAGCGCTGAGGAAGGTCTAACCACTGTACACCAATATGGTCGACTCACTCCGAACAGAGACGTCAAGTGTCATAGGTGCAAGCCATGCGTACTCCATTCATGCAGTCAACATACAGGTCTCTGTGTCGAACACAGTCTAGGCCCACTGCCGTCTTAAATGCAAATGGGTCAAGGCACAAATTTGAGATTACTAGACGAGACGACATGACAACCTTTAGTTAAATCGTACTACCAGTTTTTCGAGATTAAGCACAATGTGATGACCACAGGGAATGACAGCCACCTCCCTGCCTTCACCCATGAAACTTGGCAAGAAAGTAAGTTTCGAATCCCAAAACATGAGGCTGATGCCCAGGCACCTTAAGCGTGACGCTACTCGAAAGTCGCCAACGTTGGATGTCGTCGTCTATTTTTCGTTTGTTTAATTTTTTTCTCGCTCTATATTGAGTATGGAGAACCAACTAGCTTGAACACTCACGTTGTTAAGGAAGATAGCAATAACGAGATGAAAAACACATACGATGTCTCTGTCCTGTTGCTGAAGGTTCGTAATGCATGACTGAACTTTTTTAGCATGCTGGATCAATGCGATGGTGTGCGATGTTATTGGGTCAATAACACCGTACTCTAGGGCACAACGCTCGCTCCTGCAAGAAGAAAGAAAGACAGTAGTTAGGGACAAAAAACGTATTAGGGACGTGTAAGGTACGACACGGTCGCGTAACCACCAACAGGCGATCAGAATGCCCATAAAGGAAGCATGCAAGCTCGCACGATACGTACTGGTCATTCAACTTGTGTGCCTTGGGCTGGTACAGTGCGGCTCCCTGAATAGGCACTGGACGTGGTTTGGTGATCTGCTCTCGTTCAATCGCAGCAATTCCAGATTCCGTTTCTGTGATCAACGGTGGTAGCTCACCCCAACGTTTGTGCTGAGCATCGACCGCCATAGCGAGTAGCAAACAGTCAAGCGTAAACAAAGTAGTTATGAAGTTCAATACACAAGCCGACCAAAATTACACAAGCACTGGATCAAATGTATCATGTAGTCCACCACAACAAAACAGACGTGCCGTGGTGATGATGGCAATGCGTGCAGACGAAAAACAAAAGCTTTACTAACTTCACAGATAAGACGCGCACTGGTTATAAAAAAAAATTAGTACTGGTTGGAGAGTACCAGTCATTTTTACTTCGGACCACTTATCGCACGTGGCCTTCGAAATCGGCAACGGTGCACTGCCGCCTACACGGAGGAAGGAAAAAGGTGGCCGCCTATGACTGCCGCAGGCTTCAGATCACGTCAACAAACTCTGAGTGCTATTGAAAGAGGGCGCTACTTATCAGCAGCCTAAAAAGTATGGTGGCATATATTTCATTCGCATTGTTATATCTTTAGCACTGTTTATTATCACCTCAGTAAGTAGTAGGTTTTATAGCAAGAAGGACTTTGAACCGTGTGCTAGCGAATTCAGATGGCTTGAAATCTGCAATGATAAGACTAAAATTCATTTTTTTTTCTCCACCATAACAGAACGACTTCGATTGAACTTTCTGCGAACAAAGTCGCTATGATTCTCAATCGTATGCGCTTTTCTCCTGATTTTTTTCTTGGACCACCTTGGGGTACTACAGACGTCTACTCCCAGACAAAACAAAAAATACTAAGGATGCCCCAAACTAGTACCTAAGTCCCACATCCAATAAAGGAAGTCGTATGGATGTCCCGTAGACTTCAGCGAACAAGTGTCCATTAAATATCCCGGAAGAGAACGTGAATAGGTGGATGTACGCGAGACCTGCATGTATCCACCCATTCATGTCCCCTTGTGGGATGTTTAATGAACATGGTATATTCACCTTTTCATAAACGCCTCCCTAGGCGCCGCCATAGCCCTCGTTGTCTGTGCAAATTGGCGCGTCCCCTCGAAAATGCACTGGAAACGCTGCGCCCTTAGCCTTTGTACTCCGGCGCACAGCCCATCATGGCGGTGTTTTTTTTTTCCTTCCTGTGAAAAGGTGTATATCATCCCACGCGGTTTCAATTAATCTACTTACTCATATTCTCTCTCTCTCTCACACACACACACACACACACACACACACACACACACACACACACACACACACACACACACACACACACATATATATATATATATATATATATATATATATATATATATATATATATATATATATATATATATATATATATATATATATATATATATGACGCTATGATGACTGATTGACGTGGCCCGGCTCATACTCCTTGTTTATTCCTTTCTGACTTCTTCCTCATCTACTTCTCTTAACCATCGCTTCATACGTCACACGATTCCCCCTCCCCCCGAAAGAAGGCATGGATTACGAACAAGAAAAAGTTAACAAGTAGAGGTTAAGAAGTTACAAATGTCAAAAATTCACAATTGGTTCTATGCTCCAGGGGGTTCCGTAAACTTTCAAAGACTTCAAGGGAAAGTGCAGCAGTCCGGTTAACGCAGGAGTTCTGGTGGGCGAGGCTGGTGGTTGCGTCCTGGATAACACAAAAACGCTTTGGGCATGGAAACAGATGGAAATACAGCCGGTATTTTTGCAAAGAACGAACGAGGTTGGAACGCTTTGCAGGATTGAATGTTTCGTAGGCGTCGCATTTTTTGTCGTGGGTCATACAAACGTCGTGCATGCAATTTGCGCGCCCGTTGATCGTGGCTGATTAGGCGCTGCTTGTGTTCCTGCAGAGCACAAGCGGTTGTTTTGTGGCTTTTGGGGAGTTTTCTATGGTGATGACGCAGATGTTCAGACCGAAGGCGCAATCTTGAACGCTGGTGCGGAAAAGTTCCTTGGCTTTTTCTTTTTGCGAAGATAGCTCAGATGCGGAATCAGTCTTTTCTTTAGTCTATGTTGATCACGACACTCTTCAGGCCACAAGTATCCTTGCGATGTAGTTTTAGGTGTTCGTTGCCGATGTTGGTGTGGGTGTTTTAGCTGTTGGGGTTCCTCTTGTTGCTTTTGTTGGCATTGCTGATATTGCACTGTCTGACGAGGTGGACTTCTTTTGGAACCATGAGCCCGCTTTTCTTTGTAGGTTGACGTGACCAGCAAATAGTTGATACTTGTTAGGGTGTCGCGATTTGAGTCAGGCAATGAAGATAGTGCACCAGAATTGGCAGAAAAATCTGCTGAGGCTGTTGCAACGCCATTCTTGTTGGGCGTTCCTGGCACAGGGCAGAGCTTCGGAGTTGATCCTTCCGAGCCTCCTGTGTTGGTTGGGCTCTCGGGTTGCTGTGAACTCGACGGTGACGCTGCGAGAGGCTTGGTTTGGTCAGATTTTACCTGGGGCTGTTTCTCTGTGTCCGCAACTTTGGAGGTAAGCTGTTCTGACGCATGAATGTGGACGGTTGGCCCTGGACTTGGCTGAGCATATTCGGAGTTCCGAAGCTCTATCCCGACCGTAGTGGGCGTGTGAGACGCGAGGTGGGCGTTGTGAGCGACGAAAGAGCGAAGTGATGTAAAACCAGGATTTTCACTCTTCGAGTAGTCATGACGTTGTTCGGTATTTTCTTCATGCGTCAGCTGGTCTACCATGAGCAAGGCGTCCTTATAAGGCAAGTGGTGAGCGTTAGGAGCGCTTGAAGAACCGCGTGATGAAAACCCAGGTGGTGGACCACGTATGCGAGACGAAGAGTGAAGGGCTTCAGGTGGTTGAGCAACGTCTCGTGTCATATGCTGAAGCGATGACTTCGGAAATGCCGTCTTTCGTGCAGAAGGGAGGCGCGTTCGATGGCTGTGTTTTTCCCAAAATACGCGTTGTCGTCTGCCACTGAACTCGTGTGCCACTTCGTCTTTTGTCAGAGGTCGAATCTTGTGCGTTCGAATGGTTGAAGACTGCCTGTAAAATTGACGACTGAGTGCAGTTGTCTGTGGATGGTGGCTTACAAGCAAGTCTTCGTCGTAGTCATCATCGTATTTTTTAAACAAAACGATCATTTCTTGTTTTATCTTTTGCCAAGTCTCATCGTTGTCGAATATGTGGGTGAGGTAAAATTTAAATGCCTCACCGGTGACGTAGTCGCTGAAGTTCGTAACCATTTCCCGTTCCGACCAAGATGCAGCGGTAGCGTGGAACTCGAACAGGTCGAACCAGTCCTGTACAGGTCCATCGTCCACTGCTCCGGTGTACTTGGGGATGGGAAGGTCGGTCGATGATTCTGTCATGGTGCTGGTCGCTGTGTGCGGCTAGGAGATGATTCCGTAGTCGATGTATGGTCAGGGCGTCTTGTGTAGAACTGCGTCGATGATGAGACACTGATGAAGTGGCTTGGAGGTCTTCATCCTGTCGACTCGTGTGACGCTACGATGAATGGGTGATTGACGTGGCCCGGCTCATACTCCTTGTTTATTCCTTTCTGACTTCTTCCTCATCTACTTCTCCTAACCATCGCTTCATACGTCACACACACACACACACACACACACACACACACACACACACACACACACACACACACACACACACACACACACACACACACACATATATATATATATATATATATATATATATATATATATATATATATATATATATATATATAGAACTTGCACAACCCCTCATAAATATACACAATTAAATAAGCAGGTGGGAACAGTGTTTTCAAGACTTGGAAAATAACAATTAAAGAGGAAGGCAACCGAACCACTGAACATGTTAGAGGCGTACCGTCACGTGGAAAAGCAGGAGTGCATTGCATCACTAGAAGAGTACACTGAGGGGTATTTAAAACATGCAAAGAAATGCAAGACTTTCAAAAAGACAGTTCTTTTTACTAACTAGCATGCTTCCTTCAAATGCTGCACGTACTAGTGATTTCTGTATACAGTGGAATGTGCAACATCCAAATATAATCCCATTATGATCCCAAGATGTCCTAAGTGCAGAATGTCCCAATGATCTCGTTTTTGTCTCATTTTGGAGCCTTCATGGAGGTTTCCGGGAATTATTTGGGACATCTTTAAAAGTTCCTACACATCCTAAGCTGCGCATCCTAGGGAAATCCAAAAGATGGCTCTGTGTTGTCTGGGCTTAGACCAAAGTGGCGTTTTTGCCAAGTTCAAGATTTTATTTTAAAGCCTATGTACCACACAACGACAAAACTAATATATTTGTAAATAGTACGTTCTATGTAGAGTTTGACAGAAGTAACTTATGAATTCTATCGATGTTTGTTTTGTACAAAAATTCTCGAAAACACTACAATTTACTCAGTTTTGTCTACGCTCTAAAGTGTGAAAATGTTCAAGCTATCATGAGCAACTGTTTTATTATGAAAGCACATTGCTCTAAAAACGCAAAAAAGCAAATATTGAAAGAATTCGGGGAGTGGTCAGTTTATCGAGAATTTTTCTTTCGTACCTGGTTTTTTCCAAAATTTCGTGAACTTCAAATGATGGTCATGGGCGCAAAAAGTTTTTGCCGGTGACTCTATATATGTGTGTGATTTTCTGAAACTATTTGATTGAAATTGATTTTTAGCGAGCGCCCCGGTTGAGACAGTTGGCATGGAATGCCACAGGAAGAAGGAAGCTGCTACATAGAATGACAAAGAAACAACTATTTAATTCCGTGGTCGGCGCGTTGGCCTCCTCGCGCCAAATGTCAACTTCGTCGTCGACGCTGCGTTGGCAAGCCAGCACGTGACAAACCCTTTCCCGTGTTTGCTGCTGCGAACTTGGGTCCTCGAACACGAATACAAGCAGTGCATTGATGTGGCAGGGCCACCGCCCACCGGATGATACACGGCCGCCGCCGTAGTTCGCCTTTACACGCGCTTCCCGCACAGCCGCAACGCACGTCGTGCTGGGACCCCTGCCGCACGCACGCAAGGAGGAGGATATATATATATATATACTTAAATGAGGCGTTTTAGAGTGGTACTCTTATAAAACAGGAGAGTGGTCACGACACTTCAAGTGGTAATGGCGGAACCAGCCTGAGTACCCAGCCAACCAAATGTCGTCTTCTTCACCGACTGAGTCATACCCCCTGCCTTTATGAGTGTCACTCATCTTCTTCGCTACATTTTCTTCCCCTCCGGAAAAGAGCCAT